TTTTTTTTTTTTTTTTTTTTTTTTTATTGGCTAAATATTCCACGTCCGTTGTAGAGTGGAACGAATCTTTCCTTAACGTGGAAACCTCTCTCTAACAAACATGTTTTAGAATCGTGAGACTGACGGTGATACATAACAGGTCAAGCAGACAATATTTATTAGCAGTTTAACGGTTACAAATATTCTCTCTCTAACAAACATGTTTTAGAACCGTGAGACTAACTATATACATAACAAGCTAAAACAGACAATATTTATTAGCAGTTTAACTATTACAAATCTATGTCAGGAAAGTTATTCTATAAGTGATTTACGAGTTTCTAGACATTGTTTTTGTTTAGATCCAAGTGTTTTAGGTACTTGTGGAGATGATTTTAAACAAATATTGTGAAAGAAGAGAAAACACTTGGACATTAAGAATTTAATGTGATGTACTTTGCACCATTTTCGAAGATTCAATGAACAAAGTATTCTGTAATTATGTTCATGATTGGATAAATATAATTTTAAAAGTGAAAACATAAAAACTCCCAATTAATTTAAAGAAAATTGGTAATGAACAAAACAAACCTTTATCTTCTAAACCCATCTCTGCAATCTTGTTGCGGTTGAGGATCTTAATCGCAACTTTATGTCCTGTTAACATATGTTCTGCAACTCGAACTTTTCCGGTTGAACCATCTCCGATGGTTCTTCCAAGCTTGTAATTCCCCACAAACACATCCCTTCTTCTTCTATCTTCCATTTTAACCGGAACCTCTGAATCTCTGTGTTCTACCGATCTTCTGAAGACTCAAGTGGAGGAGGAAGGTGCTTTAATGGCGGAAAGGGTAATTTGGGTAATTTGAAATTGATGAAAAAGAGAAGGCCAATGGGAGGGTAATAGCGATGCCTTCTGTCTTCATCGAATAATTTAATGCTGTGTTCTTCACCATTCAACCTTCTCTCTATATGTTTATTTATTTTTAAAAGAAATGACTTTTATTTGATAACAAAAGAATTATTAGAAAATCAATTACTTAGGGAAATTAGAAAATGATGTTTTTATTTTTTTTTATCTAACAAAATTGAATTTTGACTTGACTTTATTAAGTAATTAATTTGAATTTGATTAAGTTATCGAGTTAATTGAAGTTCGTTATTTAGATCGTATGAGGGAAATTAAAAATATAATTCAACATACGCGTCTTGAGTAGAAGTCCGTCGTTATTTAGTCCTTCAATATTTACTAATTATTTAGATCAACGTGGGACGTGGGTGGTTACAAATGATATCAGAACAAGACAGAGTAGTGTACCACATCAGTTAGAGAGAGAAATAAACCATTTTTATATAATGGTGCGAAAACTTCTTCACTACGCCATACGAGTTTTAAAACTTCAACTATTATAGGAACAATTAATTCATTCCCACCCCAAATTAGGAGTTTAGTTCCTAAACTTTTCTGGGTTGAGTGGATAAATTCTAAATTATTTAAAATTTCTTGCTCTCATTCTTGTATTTGAAAATTGTGAAAGCAAAAGCTACAAAGGTGGAGGAGATTAGAATTGTTGTAGCACAGTGAAGTGCAGTTTTTGATACAGAAATTAGCTTGCCTGTTCACGTCGAAAGTCGCGGTAGATGTGCCATTTCTGATATCTTTGAGGCTCTGCTAAAACAGGTCTAAGACGAGGTGAACTTGTGCATTCTGTACAGCAGCATCCTCTCAACTCCTCCACACACTCTTTACAGCATCTGAAACCAAACAAACTCATTCCATTACCCAACCCATTTTTGCTTTGGAATTAAACCAACGAGATAGCAAGTAATGATCAGAGATCAGGAACGAGTGTAGCCAAAACTTGCAAACCAGACTTACAGAAATAGTAGATTGCAGTCGAGATTCGCACAATTTCGGTGCCTTAATTGAGAAACCTTGGAAGTACAGATATAGCATCTGGCAAAAGCATTATTCCCAGAAAATTGAGGGGTTCTGCTTGATTCAACTTCAGGGTTGTAGGCGGATGGAGGCAGTGAGAGTCGTGAGTCGAACACGAACAAATTACCAACCCATTGCTCGATACCTTCATCTTTTAGATAATTAGTGACTCCTCCTTTTAAGGTGTAAAGGTTTTGAAACCCCCTTTCCCTGCAACAATGATAAAAAAGGAATAATCATGACATCATCCACACACCAGATCAACATTGTGCCCAAGATGTCTATCATGGTGAATAGGGTGCTGGTAAGGAAGAGGGGAAAGAAAAATAGCACTAAAATTCTATTGTAATATGAATAGAACATGCAATGGTAGTAGCCTTTCAAGAGGGCTATCTCCCTCGGCCACAAGATAACCGACTCCCAAAGTTAAGCTCAATCTCCAACTCCCTAACTCCCTCGATTTATAACCGCTCCACCATAACTTCTGTGTTTGATCTGAAGAAGGATGGTACAGATACAAAAATTGGTTTACCTTAGAATTGTCGAATATACATCACAACGAATACCGCCCGTGCAATACATCAAAACCTCTGTCTTCTCTTTGTCAGCATTTGCCAAAGGATCAGAAGCAGCATCCTAAATAAGCATAAATAGGGACGTTAGCGAACAGATCACAACTGTTGAAAGCTCCACAAGTTATCTTTATTTCTTTACTTATCCCAATCACAAAGAACAAAGTTATTCGCTCACAACTTAGGGGAAAAAAAGTGAGTGTCTTCTACTAAAAGGATGACAAAAGAGGTACCAAACATCAATATATTGAAATTACTACACCAACTGAAATCCAAATACAGCAAAATTTATTCCGAAAATTATTATAGTTATGAGGAAGAAATTCATTGGAACGAGAAACCACTTAAAGAAAGACAAAGAGAGCAAGAATTAATATCAAACTCGTGAGAAAATGGTTGTTTTTGTGACAGACTGGTACTGTAGGAGTTCGGAGAGATGTTCTAATGATGTGTGATCCTTAGTTAGATTTTATGTCTCTCTTTCTCTCTGAGCTTTAGTGACAAAAGCTTGTTGTAATTACTCTCTAGGTCTGATTTTACTGGGTTAGAGCCTCTTTTCGTATTTTCATTCCCTTTTGTGGGCTTTTTTTGTGTTGTATTCTTTCCTTTTTTTCCTCGATGAAAGCTCGGTTATTCATAAAAAAAATTATATCAATGTTTTAATAGAATACTCAAAGTGATTGTTGATGCTAAAGAAGAGTTTTTAAAAGATCTGTGTCCTTGTTATCTGCTATTCTTTTTACCCTTGGTGACCGACGGATTTGACATCAATTCCTACAACATGTTGCACAGTTGACATACCTCAGTTTGGGATAAACCAAATGATGTGCACCTAAAGTTATCCACAGTTGGCCGCTGAGCACCTTGGAAATGACCAATGTCCCACTCATATCCTGAACATATTCAATTAAAACAAAGTGAAGTGAACACAGAGAACCAACAATGCAACTAAACTGCCCGAACACCAAAAGCTAGAGGAACAAAGCTCCGTTGTCTTTGTTCCTCAAAGAGCTGTTTCAATCTAACTCCAAGAAAGAACCGAAAGTAAACAAACTGTAGTCAAACAATGCTAGCCCAAGATTCTACTATCTATAAAGTAACTTAGAATATTGACTATATTAATTGCCTATTCTAAATTCAATATCAAACAGAACATGGAAAAAAATACTTACTTTTTTAATGGTCTATTTGAAGGAATATTTAAATATACAATCATAAGCATCTTTTATAAGAAAATCGAATGAGAAAAGATTATGGAAGAGAAGTACGTACCATTTCTCATATCCAATAAAATATACTTTGTATCCTTATTCCTATTCATTGTTTCCAACCTTTCTCTCCACTCAGATGGAGTTAAAGGCGTTGCTCGCTTTGATGGATCAAGCAAAGGAAGATGTGAAAAATCGCCTTCCAACTAAGGAAAAAAGAAAAAAGAAAGCTTAAAAGTTAGAGAATGTTCCTCCTCTCTCCCACCGAACCAACAAATTAGAGATACGTCATTCAAATAGTTGTTGTCATGTACTATAGTAATTTTATGCATCTGATAAGCTCCTATAAGTTCTATCCAGAACGTACTGAAATCAGACAGGTTTGAGTACTCTAGGAAGAGAATAAATGAATCTCAACAGAAGAAGAAAAAAAAAGTAAACAATAAAATTCATCCGAAAGAAAGTGGTTTGGCTCACTTGTACAAGTGAGGGCTTATAACGCAACTTCAGCTTGGGAAAGGCATGGCCATTTATTGCTGGAGAAACTTGAACTAGGATATCCGAAAATCTGGGATCTTCTCTTAACCAGTTAGCATAAGCAAGAACATCTTTTGATGGGCCACTGTACTGAACCAATAAATATATGATTAGCATGAAAAGAAACCAGCAGCAAATAGAAAGTAAATAAGAGATGATTAATGAATCATTAGGCATTTGATCTTGGTGTTTAAGGTTCAAAGACTAAACAAAAACATTTAAAGAGAATTACAGGATAATATGTCACATGTTCATGCATATTAATGTCAACAGGCACCGAAAATCTGGAGAATTCAAATGGAAAAAAGGTACGAAACAAATATCAAACTTGGGAGTTAATGGATCTCATTCAGAACAACAAACATACATGGAAATAAAGATACCATTCGGAACACAATACCTGCGCGTTAATTCCTTGTTCATTCAGGTAGATTCGTCCATGTATATCCAAATCCTAAACTCACAAACAGAGAGCACATTACAAATATCGTTCTTTTAAGTTATCAAAATCCCAATTTCTAGGTTTGTGAACTGTAACTGTGAATTCAATAGTTTGGACAAAGAAATTACCCTCATAACGTAGAGATGCTTAGCGACCTCAGCTTCGGGGTCTTCAATGGACACAAAATGGTAGAAATTAACGACTAAAAAATCTTCCTCCGAAGTTTCGTGAAGAAGCCGACGATGTTCCTGGTTTGGCCGTGAGTTGGATAGAGAGACCGAAAGAAAGGTGTTAGGTTGAGTTACAGAGGACGAGGCAACTGCAATTTGCCTCGGCTTCCATTTCCTGTGGCGGAGCGGAACTCTAATGGCAGTAATGGAGAAATTGATTGTACAAGAAATGGTTGGTCTGTGGATAAGAGTAATCGTAGCCATGGCTGCCGCATTACCACTGTCCAGTATCGTCAGTGACAATGGCAGCTGCATTGGAAGCTACAAGCCATAGAAATGGTGGTGGTTTCACCTTGCCCCATCCCCAACTCCTAATATGAAAGTATTGGATTATGACGTGGAAATTATAATGAATTTTCATTTTCTTGGATGGAGGTTTAAAAAAATTAGGAGAGTAATAATTTTACAACTATACCCTTATTATTAAAAAAATAAAAAAAATAAAAAAATAAAAAAATAAACAACGCCATTCATCCGGAAGCTCACATCTACAGTATTTTCTTCTCCCCTTGCTCCTTTTTCGTTCTTCCACGCATCCCGTTTCTTCTACAACCTACGCCGGCACATCCTCTTCGCCACAGTCGTACGCCGGCACACCTTCATCGGAACGGCTCATTTCATTCTTCTTTCACTATCTTTATCTCTGCTGCAACCGCGACAGCACGCAGGACTGTGCAGCCTTCTTCTGCTGGTCTCCAAAGTTCACACTCGCAACCTCAACCTCTCTCAGTTTCTGTACGCCTGGATCGTTTTTCTTTTTTCTTTGTGCTTGTTCATTTTTATTTCTTCAATTCAAACCATTCGAAAATAGGGTGAAATTGGACTGAATTGAAATTTAATTGAAGTTTTGCCCAATCCGACCTATTTTGGACGGGAATTTGGTTGAGACAAAACAGGATTTGAGATCAGATTGAAATTCAAATCCTAGTTTTCTTTTTTCCAAACCAAACCTGACGATGATTTCAAGTCCGTTATGATTCCAAATCCTTTCGGTTCCAAACAGAGGGTTAATATCATTTGATACGTGTTTCCAAATGGTTCAAACCACTATCAGTTGGTTGAATTATCCTGTTAAGTTTGCAATTTTGCTCAACCTTAAGTGTTGCAGGGACGTGTTTGAAAGGACTTCGCTAGTATGTCCTTTTCTACTCAGAATATCATATTATTGCAGGCTTTCAGGATTATAAAACAGTAGAGCATTTTCCAATCATGGAAAATCTTAAGGGTTGTTTGTTTGCATCTTTTGTTTTTGTCTTTAATACTAGAACAAAATTTTGAGCGACTAGCATTTGGAAGTAATTGCAGTATCGTGAACAAGTATTTTTAGGTTCACTTACTTTGTGGGAATTAGTTGCTCGAAGAGAGAGAAAAAAGGAATCGTTCTTTTTTCATCAAGGTACAATGATTTTTTTTTTTTTTTTTTTTTTTTTTTTTTTTTTTTTTTTTTTTTTTTTTTTTT